GAGTATAGTAATCGAGTTATGTATATTATTTGTGTTGATCTTTGAAGGGGTTGATTTGTGGCATGTGTATATATATATATATATATATTATGTTTATGTGATTGCGTGACAGTGACTATGGCAGCAGAATTGGTGTTGGTGTATGACGACACGTGTGAGCGACGGCGCCGTTCAATCCTGCGAATTTCTTTTTTCCTTTGCCACCCTCGACTTATACTCTGGTTTTGTTGGTTTATAGACTACCTTAATTGATGGGCAGATTGGGAGCTTCGAGAGTCCTCGAGGGGAAAGAAGAGAGTAACGTAGGAACGGAAGGAATAATTAATCAATTACGTAATTGCCGATAATAAATAATAGAAAGTTATAAATGATTCCCCGTAAATTCTTTTTAAAATTCTCCCAACGCGACTGGGAGGCCAATGGAAAATTTATCATTCCTACTGTCTCTTGTTCTTCTTAGCTTGATCGGGCCTGAGCGAGAGGATTGCTTCGGAGAGAGACTTCGAAGGAGAGCTAAGGAAAAATGGCGATTAGACCAAGTAGAGGAGCGAGTCTCTTGCAGCTGAGGTCGAAAGTAAGGTGGAAAGCGGAAGGAGAGGTGCCAGGACCGGAAAGGCCTGCCCCATGGTGTGCCAGAGCGATTCTTGGGTCTTGGCAGGTTCAAAGGTTACGTGACAGCGGGTCCCATTGTTGTTTAATTTAATGAACCGACTGCTTTGACGCTTCTCTCTCTCTCTCTCTCTCTCACTCTCGTTATTTCACTCTGTATGCGTTTCGATAGGTAACCAAGCCCCAGCTAGAGTTCAAGTCAGTCATAAAGTGTTTGCAGATGAGCAGAAAGACACGGATGGTTTTACGGGGAAGAATTTCAAATGGACCAGCAGTGTTGCTGCCAGTCAGGGAGTAATATTGAAAGTTGGGATGTAATCGTATCTATACGTTAGACCGGAGGCGAGTTCCGGGCAGAGAACACTTCCGACATATTTCCCATATTGCACCCGCCGGCGAAATCAAATACCTCGTCTAATCGTTTAATTTTATCGAATGGCATTTTTGAACTGAGCCGTGACCCATGACCCATAACCCAATAGGCATATATGTCTGCGGTTTGGACAGAGAAAGAGAGAGACAGACAAAAAGAGAGAGCGACGACTATTGCTTATTCCAGAGTCGGCAATTACGTGCTGAGAGAGAGAGAGAGAGAGAGAGAGAGAGAGAGAGAGAGAGAGAGAGAGAGAGAGAGTCTGAGAAGGAGGGATGAAAGACGACGAAAAGGGTGGCTGCCTCGAGATGGGGGCCTAGGATGGCACGTATCAAAATCATATTTGTCGCAGGGTCACGCCGAGCCCTATCCGAGGTAAGGTCGGAGGTCACGCAACCTTCTGTTTAGAATAACTCAAGAATGATTGCGTGGTCTGTTACCGGGGGGAGATATATGTCGATGGCGCTACTAGCATTGCTGCCAGTGGTGGGTGCTCTGGTAGAAAAGCGTCACGTGCTCTCAATAGCCTCGGATATATATATATATATATATATATATTAATATCATGGATGTAGCAAGATATAACGGGGTATAGAGTGGGATAGATGAGATCCGATATATACATACAGCACTGGGTTAATATACCGTGGTACGAGCGTCTCGCCCGACGCGACGCATCGAAACTTCGAGAGACAACCCTAATTCCTTCCCTTGTGCTGGATTTATAGGGGCGATTCGACTTTATTGCTTATCGTCTGCAGCCCCAACCGGTGAACTGACGATCCACCACGATTCACTCCCAATGGATCAACCGAATCTTCGCGACAGCCTGACCTCTCTCCTTTGACCTACCCTACTCGAACCCTCATCTCTCTAAAAACACGAAGCCGAAGCAGGCTGCACCCACGAACGGACAACCCCGTCCCGCGACTCCCCCCCCATAACGTCAAAACGTAAAAACGTAAAATGTAAAACGTAGGGCGCTGCGCTTAGCCGGATAAATCGCTGGACCCGATGGCAATTCCGATAATCGGATTGAGCGGTTGGCTCGTCGAGAGTGGTGTGCGTGTGTCGGAGGTCGTAGGAGGTGCCGTAGTGCTGGAGGTCGTGGAGGTTCTAGCTGATGTAAGGCTGGACCTTCTCTGGATGAATTATATAAGAGTGGGGGATGCCCAGGAGTGGCTGGTTCAACGGATAAGGGTTTTACTAACTGCGAGGAGACCTTAACTCAGCGAACAGCTATATACGAAGACTCGCGTCGGTAACAGCGGAATCTAGGCTTTGGGAATTACCTTATATGTATATATATATATATATATATATGGTTTAATATATATAGTATACATAACAGAGGAAGGGTTTCTGATCGCAACAAGATGCTCACGTGGTGGTAAATGGTAGGGTTGGGGGTGGGTAGAGGCTGCTGGGAGGGGGGGGGGCGCATTTACCTTCGCAAACATTGACGAGAGTCACGCATGGACACGTGTGCTCCTACCACAGTATGGGGACAACACGTATCCACATATCAGTCAATTAATCACGGGCTCAAAGGAAATACATCGATTCTCGCCAATATTTGCTTCTCGACAAAAATGACAACCTACTGGGGCAACTGTGGTCGTTCTTCACCCCGTGCACGTCAGTCAGTTACTCGTATTCTTATGCAACGGACAGAACGAACTCGCGATGCATAATACATAGTGGGGGGGTGTGGATGCCTCAAAATTTTCTTTTACTGCTTTATTCATACGATATCAATAGACGATAGAATGACGTCACGGGGCACTCGTACGACCATCCAGCGTAAGTCACTCGTTTCCATCTGTATCGATAATACAATTTTATTAATATTATATATGGCCATGCATCTACTAATGTAGCCTGTAGCCTGTAGCCTGTAGCCCGGTGGCGTTTTATTGAGAAATTATCTCTTACTTATATTCGAACTATTGACGATTCACGACTCGTTATCGATATTATTTCTCGTAACGCGTCATGTTGCTTTCTACATACACACACGTGCATATTCTCCTTCTATCTCTTTCTCTCTTATATCGTTCGCTCTCTCACGTGCACTTTTCTCTCTCTCTCTCTCACTCTCACTCTCTCTGCACGGCTCCCAGAAGGTAGGTCGTATTCTGAGCTCCGGCTGGATCGGGTCTTACTGGTTGAGAGATACGTGCTCGGTAATGCATGGAAGGTTGATTGGGCCGGTATATGGGTTATGAGCACTGGAGAGGGACAATAGAGAGAGAGAGAGAGAGAGAGTGAAAGGGTACGACACGTAAGAAAGAAAGAAAGAAAGAGAGAAGGAAAGAATAAAAACGAAGGGAGAAGGCTCGAGAGGAGACAGTGGCGATGCAACACTGTAGACCAGAATACCACCCACGTCTGGTGTCATCCGGTTGAACAAGAGTGAATTTTGGATAAGCGTTTATTATCGTCGGATCGTAATCAGCTGTCTGTCCTTATCTGATTGCCAGTAGGTTTCGAATTTAGAGTGTGTCTACTTGGTCCCTCGCGGGACGCAACACAATGATCGTTCTCGCATCGGAAATTCTTTTCCACCCTCTTCTCCCTCTCGCATTCAGTCTCATGCCATCTCACTCAGACACACAGACTAACCGTTCTCCCGTCCCTGTCTCTCGTCATTTCCTCCAGTCTCGCAGATTCCGTTAACACATTGCCTTTTTATCACCGACGAGCGGCTTCTCAATAAAATGCCTCCGTACGTGAGTCAGTGTGCGTGTGTGCGCGTGTATGTGTGTGTGTGTGTGTGTGGGTGCGCGCGCGCGCGCGTCTATCAATTTTACTTATAAGTTGGCTTTCTCTTCTCTTGGCCTTATCTTCTTCTTAAACACGTGTCCTTCGAATCGCTCAACCCCTCCTCTGACTTCAATTTCTTCCTTTTGTCATTATTATTATTATTATTGCTTTTCAATTTTTACTTCGACTCGTCGCTCGACTCTCGTTCCCCTCTTGGTATTCCACTAGATTGCTCTCATTGCCTTTTTCATAATTGGTCTCTGTTTTATCTAAAGCTTACGTTTACGAAGCAGCCTCAACAGCAACAGCAGCACCAGCAGAGCAGCGTCAAGGTACGATAATACGTATGCGAATCAAGAGGCCATAATATATGTATACGGTTCATACAAGGTACAGCGAAAACGTGCATGGGATATGTTGGGCTTACTTAAATGGGGCTTCTCTTTATTGAACTGTCCATTGGATACGTGAGGCAAGAACTGGGAATCGGGACTGAAGGAAAGTATTATAGAAATTAATGCCGGCGGGAGGCTCAGTGGGATCCCTCGGGAATGTCACAGCGTTATCGCTGCTGCCTGATCCACGAGCGGAAATGGACCTTCTGCGATCGAGGCCTGCGATCGCAGGACATCCGGTTTCACAATCTCGCGAACGAGGCAGCCGCGAATTCAAAGAAAACATCGGACAGCGTACGTCTGTCCGATGGGTTGACGTTCCTGCCGGGAATGGGGGGGGGGGGGGGG